TGGGCGTCTTTTCCCTGGTGCCCTGTGACAGGACAAGGGGCAAAGGATGCAAGTCAAAGCACACGAAGTTCCACCTCAGCATGAGGAAAATCTTCTTTTCTGTGCGGGTGCCGGAGCCCTGGCCCAGGCTGCTCAGAGAGGGTGTGGAGTCTCCTGCTCTGGAGACTTTCCAACCCCCCTGGACGCGTTCCTGTGGGGCTGCCCTAGATCCTGTGGTCCTGCTACAGCAGGAGGGTTGGACTCGACGATCTAGAGAGATCCCTTCCAACCCCGACCGTTCTGCAAGTCTGTGATCTTCTGAGAAATGCTCATTTGCCAGATTTCAAACATTATTTATCATCTTTACAAGAAGGCTGTCAGATTATACACTTGTAGCCTTTCTGAGTCACCAGGTTTTTAGGCTTTAAACACAAAGTTTAGGCTTTAAACACGCACTCAGTTGAACACCAACTGGTGAACTGCAAAAATGCCATGGTCAGCAATGGGCTGGGGTTTGCAAAGCTCCAGCCATGTGCTAAAATCACCTGGTACGAAAGTAAATTCACATGAACTATGAAAACATCTCTACAGAGGTGAAAAGTGAGGGACTGGGATTTTACCGTGCGTTGCCATCGTATCCTGCAAAGATCCACAGCTTGTCGCTGTACACCGTCGCGCCATGAGCTGACCTCGCAACTGGCAACCTGCAGCAGAGAAAATTAAGGAAAAAAAACCTTAAATCACCTGCAGAGGTGCTGTAAGAAGGAGCTGCGTGACAGCACGTGCAAGAAGAATTAAACCCCCTTAAACCAAAGAGCTTCAGGCCAAGAAGTTGCTTCTGTCATACAGCCTCAAAACACAAACAAGCCTCCGAAGGGCGTGTTTTAGAATTTCACACTCTGCTTCCTTCGTTAGAGAACAATTACCTTAATGCATACGGAAAAAAGAAAAAAAAACCTAACTAATTCCTTGTCAGGCATCAAATACTGTTGAAGTGTTTTATGAAAAGCAGCTAAACTGAGGGACAATTAATAGCACTATCAATACAGCATTGCTCGTGCTACAGAAACCCCACATGTATTTTCACATCTTGAGAAGCTGGAACACGTAAGCGAGACCCAGGACAGAGCTCACGATGGTTATTCGGGTTGCTCAGCACTCCTGAGGTGCAGTGCCCACAATAAAAGATCAAGCCTACGACCTCCCATCTCCAACCTTTTACGTTTTTACCAAATCAGCCAAGAAGTGTTGAAGAAAACCGTGGCACCACGAGGGCGGTGGATGAAACGTGAGCTTGTGTGAGGTCACTCGTGTTGAATGCACAAGGATGCCTGAGTTCATAAAACGCGAATAAGGATTACTCTCAAAATGCCCCAAGCTGCTAGAATAACCAGAACAAGAAATTATTAACATGGTCTGTGCTCTCAAACGTCATGTCTGCTCATCAGCAGTGAGCGACGGTAGCTTGAGAATGGACTGTGCAATGCTCACCCCTTTCTACAAATCGCAGGAACAGGAGTTCTCGTCCCTCTCCCCACTCAAATCAGCTTTTCAGAAATACATAATGAACCGCAGGTAAAGCCACAGTTACGGCCCCCATGTGGGCCATCAAGTAGTTGGGTCAAAGTCAGTGTCACGGATAACATTCTGAACTGGGCACAAAGCCAGCTGTGACAGGAACGCGTCACCGGTTCTGATTCTGCTGTGGACAGGTGAATCTCAGTAACCTGTGTCCAACACATCCAAACACCCCTCATCAGCTCACTTCTCTGCTTCTCAATTTATCTGTGTGAATCCACAGCACTGCAACGCGCTTCAAGTACGGGCGTGCATTTCTGAGCACTCTGGGAAAGACCAAATTTAATTGGAAAAGAACGTGAAGATTTAACTATTAAAAAAAAAAAAAAGATTCCAACCAGTTTCTGATAAAACTAAACTGAAATTACAAGAGATCGACAGACTTCATGCAATCCTTGAAAAAGAAGCAATTCAAAGTAAAAATTTCCTTTGCATCCCATCACAGAAATAAAATATGAAGAATGGATTTTGGTTCAATTTCTAAAATAGTCTGGAATGGGGGCCTTGCAAAAAACCTCCTTCAGAACAAAAGCCAGTTTTTGGAAAACTTTAATCAAGAAAGCAGAGCAGAATCGTCCTGCAGAATGAACATGAGCACTGGGTTTAGCTGTGACTGTGCCATTTTAAATATTAGTTTGCTGAGTTACACCCGAGTCCGCTTGAAGAGCGGGAGATGCCAGCTCCTTACCTTCCTTCAGTCTTCCACTCTGTCCACTGTCCCGTTGCAAACTTATATTCAAAGAGATCGTTTTTATTCTTCAGGTTGGAATTGGAATAAATGTCTCCAGTATAACCACCTGGGCAACAACAGCTCCGTTAGACTCAGATGCAACATTAGAAGAAAAACTTGTGTTCCGATAGCACAGCGCGAAGGTATTTGGCTGACAGACTGCTCAGGGGGGAGACTTCTACGCTCCTACCCCTAAAGCAGTTTCAAGTCTCCTTTACTTCAGACAAAGCAGCAAAAGTAATCCCAAGCTACCGCTGAAATCACAGTCAGCCATAAAAACCTGGATTTCAATCAGATCTTTCGATGCTTCCTAAAAATCTCTCACGCTTTTTCCAAAACGATACTAAACCGGCGTGTTTATCGCCCCGAGCACACACAACTGTTCGCCTTTTGCCTCACCAAACACAAACATGCTGCTCCCGTAGACCACAGCCGAGTGGTGATACCGCGGCGCTGGTGGGGTCCCCGTGGTAAAAGCCCTGCACGACAGCAAGAACAGGGGCAATCAAACGTCTGTCCTGACACGCCGCAGGCGCTTGGGGCTACTGGGCAGATTCAAGAGAGAAACAATCGTTACGAGTTTATTCTACTGATCCCAAGCGTTTTCATCGGTTTCTTAATTACACTGCCCAGGACCTTACGCAGACTTAACGCTGTAAATGCAAACGGTTAGAAAAAAGAGGCTGCTGAAACCTGCCTGGCAGAGC